GGTGTGATAATTTTAGGGTAGATATAGCTGCACAATAGTGGCAGAGGCTCACCTTTTTCTATCTTAATTCTTCACTTTCTTTAGGGAGTAGTCCTTGTCTGCATGGTCCCGGATGGCTGACCACCAAGACCCCATTCCAGCCCCAGAAAAGGGAATAAAGGCATGGGAAATCCCCCACCTCTAAGACCTTGAGTCAGAAATTGCTCCCATCTCTTCTGCTCACATCTCATTGGCCAGAACTTAGACATGTGGTGTACATAGCTGCAAGGGAGGCTGGGAAATGTAGTCCTTCTCTGGGTGGCTGTGTGCCCAGGTAAAAACTGAGGATTCTACTAGTATGGAAGAAAAGAGAATGGATATTAGAGGACAACTAGCTATCTCTGCCAGGATAGGGATGGAAAATAGAAGAAAGTTAAGAGAAAATATGGAATGAAAGTTATGGATCTCCTTTATCCTAGCCTTAATTTTTATATAAGGAAACAATACAGGCGAGGAATCTTGTAAGAGAAGAAAGAGAAGCTGCATTCCTGGACCTAGAGATGTTATGTTTGTGCAGATGGAAAAAATGAGGAAAAGACCTAAGGTCAGCTGATCCAGTAGGAGCAAATCCACTTGTGTTCTGACTTCCTCTTCGCAATTTCCTTGTCTTTCCTGTAAAGAGATATAAACTCTTCTATTTGTTTTTTATTTTTTAAAAATTGTGGTAAAGTGCACCTAACATACAAGTTACCATCTTAACCACTTTTAAGTGTACAGTTTAGTGGCATTGAAGTATATTCACATTGTTGTGCAACCACCACCACCATCCGTCTCTGGAACTAATATTAGGTTACAGAATTTGAAATTTTGTACCCATTAAACACTAACTCCCCATTTTTCCCCCCTGTCAGCCTCCAGAAACCACCCTTCTACTTTCTGTCTCTACGAATTTGATTACCCTCATACAGTATTTGTCCTTTTGTGACTGGTTTATTTCATTTAGCATAATGTCCTCAAGGTTCATCCATGTTGTAGCGTGTGTCATAATTTCCTTTCCTTTTAACGTTAAATAACATTCCATTTATGTATACACCACATTTTGTTTCTCCATTCATCTGTCGATGGAGACTTGGGATGCTTCTACCCTTTGGCTATTATGAATGACGCTGATATGAACATTCTTGCCCATTTAAAAACCAACTTAGACAACCTTTCAGCACGCCCCGTGTGACCTTGAACTTGGAGGCTCAAAATTGCTTGGAGTCATGAAACAGATCTGGAGGGTGGTAGGACATAGTTAATGGAATTTATACTGGTTATTCAAGAGCCATAAATGGCATTATGGATATATTCTCTCCTTTTTTCATGATTCTTCCAGCCACGTAGATAAACTTTTCAAAGCATTGCACTTTTTCTTTTTACCAGAAGAGGTTGGTTTTTTTAGAGGGAAGATGTGATTGGTGAGGTCTGGTTCCTTCTGTGGCGAACACCCAGGCTGGCACATGACCTCCACCAGCCTGTCTAGCCCCATTGCTCCCCACATGCTGTGCCCAGACCCTGGCTCTGTGTCCTCTGGTCAAACCTGTGACTTGTCCTTCCTCAGACAGGACCTGCTCTTTCTTACCTCTAGTATTTGCTCACGCTCTGCCCTCTGTTGTAATCCTTTTTTCCCATCACCTGGATA